AGATCATCTCTCTGTCATGCTTATCCCTGCATATAAGCCCCAGCTTATCAGGGCTAAACCGACAGTTAAAGAGGTCAGAGTGTGGTCTGAGGGTGCCATGGAGACACTCCAAGACTGTTTTGAATGCTCTGACTGGAACATCTTCAAGGCTGCAGCAACATATGAAAACTTATTAAATATAGATGAGTACACCATGACTGTGTCAACCTACATCAGCAAATGCAATGAGGACGTCAGCATCAAAAAGAACACCACCACCCGGGCCAACCAACCACCCTGGATAAATGAAGAGGTTCGGAAATCACTAAAACCCGAACTCAGCTTTCAAGTCTGGTGATAAAGAGGCACTGAGAACAGTGCGTCCCAACTTAAACCGTGCCATCAGATCAGCGAAGCAGAACCACAGCCAGAAGATCCAGGATATTTTCCACAACAACAACACCAGGAGGATGTGGAAAGGCATTCGGATGATCTCAGACTACAACACACCCTCCCACCTGGTAGATGCAGCAAACACTGACTTCCTAAATGAACTGAACAACTTCTTTGGAAGGTCTGAGGCACTAAACAGCCTCCAGCAGTGAAAGCTGTTCCACACCAGGGGGAGGAGGCACTAAACCTGGACTTAGCTGAAGGGAGGAAAACTCTGAGGAGAGTCAACCCAAGGAAGGCCCCAGGCCCTGATAACATACCTGGGCGGGTGTATAAGGAGTATGCAGACCAGCTGGCTGGTGTCCTCACAGACATCTTTAACACCTGGCTGGACCAATCCATAGTCCCAGCATGCTTCCAGTCTGCCTCCATTATTCCAGTCCCAAAGAAGCCTCAGGTCACCTCACTCAATGATTACTGGCCTGTCGCTCTGACTCCCATCATGATGAAGTGCTTCCAAAGGCTGGTTAAAGAACACATCGTCTCCTGTCTGCCGCAAACATTCGACCCGTTCCAGTTTGTCTACCGATGGAACCGCTCCACTGAGGACGCCATCTCTGCTGCTCTCCACCTGAGCCTGGAATACCTGGAGGAGAAGA